GCGCTCAGGCACTGAGGACCATGGCACGTCCGAGCCTCGCACTGGCGAAGGGCCTGGCCCTGCTCGCGCTCTGCCTGCTGGCGCTGGCCCGCGACGCCCGCGCCCGGCCCCCGGAGCATCTGGTCGGAGGCCTCCAGGATCTGTCGCCCAGCGACCCGCAGGTGCAGAAGGCGGCGCAGGCGGCTGTGGCCAGCTACAACATGGGCAGCAACAGCCTCTACTACTTCCGAGACACCAACATCATCAAGGCACAGAGCCAGGTGACCGGGCAGGGGAGCCAGCGGGCTGGGAGGGCGGCGCCGCTGCCCCAGGTGACGGGGCATGGGGCACTGTGGGTCACGGGATATTTAATGCAGTATGTCGCTACGAATCCGTGCTGCCCAAGTGCAGGACGCACCAAACTTCAGGCTGCACGTGCGCAGCCTTCCCAGCCCACACTAGCACCACCCAGGGGCTGGAGGGGGGCCAGCAGCCTTCAGGGGTGGGTCTGGGTCTCATCCTCCAGCACCCCAGCCCACTGTCCCCTCCCCGGGATTCCCACCAGGGTGCCCCAGCCCCTGCCAGGCCTGAATCACTGGCCAACGTGCTCAGCGTGTCGGGTTGGAGGGAAAGGGCGACAGGACTGGGGGGAGCATGTCCGGTTGCCGTGTCAGGTCCAGGGCTGGCTCCTGGCCCCTGACGTGGCTTTGCCTTCCATCCCCAGCTGGTGGCCGGGATCAAGTACTACCTGACCCTGGAGATGGGGAGCACAGACTGCCGGAAGACTGGCACGTTTGGAGACCACATCGACCTCACCACCTGCCCTCTGGCTGCAGATGGGGAGCAGGAGGTAATGACCCCACACCCCCACCCTTGCTCCAGTGTCCACGGTCCTCAGGTTGTCCAGCCTGAACTGATCTGGCCAAACCTGTCCCTGCCGTTTGGATGACTCAGCCCCCTGGCTGGGGTGGGGTGCAGAGAGGACAAGACTGGGGTTTCCCTGTGCAGTCTGTGAGAGACTTGACAGGAAAGCCCGGGATTCTAGTCTGGGCCGTCTGATTCCCCGAGCTGTGGCCGGCAACTGCCCATCTCTCTCAGAGCAGCAGGCACGGTTGAGAGGAGGCAGGCCCAGGGCCCAGCTCACCTCCCCCCACCAAATTCTCTCTGCAGAAGCTGCGCTGTGACTTCGAGATCCTTGTCGTGCCCTGGGAGAACTCCTCCCGCCTGCTGAAGCACAACTGTGTGCCCATGTAGACTCTTCAGGAGCTGCTGCGGGAAGGGTGGGGGCATGGAGGCTGGGGGGCACCGGTGGCCCAGGGCCAAGTCTCGCAATAAATCGCTAGCTGCACAGCACTCTGGTCTCTCCTGAGTTCTTTGTCCACCGCACGCTCCCACTCGGCTCCCGGCAGCACCCAAACCTGCCTTCCCTCCAGCTGAGCTGGCTCCTAAGTCCAGATAGCGCCAAGTGTGCACGGCTCAGACCCCCAGTCTGGAACGCCCAGGCACCCCGGCATCACAGACACAGCGGAGCAGAACTCCAGAGACCCTGATGTCCTGAGTTAAGGGGCCAAGGACACAGTCTCCGGAGAGGGGTCACACTCCAGGACTGAGAAGGCCTGTGTTGGGGTGCTCTGCTCCTTTAGCTGCCCAGACAACTCAAGATGGCCAGTGTCTTCTGCCAGCTGTGCCCCAGAACACTCCACAGCTGTGGAGACCACTGTGCCCACCTGTGGCCCCAAGACAGAGTCCCTGCAGGCAAGAGAGCAAGGGCGCCCTGGTCTCTTCGAGTAGCCAGAGGCATTCCCCCACCTTTGCCCTGGGCAGGATCTGGGGCAGAACCGGAAGCCCGACTCCCACTATTCCCCCGCAGGACGGATAGGGGGTCTGGTGTAAATGTCCTTCAAAGAAAACAGTTGCAACATTTATTACACCCCTGAGCATTCACGTATTTGTGCTTGCTACATACACATCCCAAAACACCTCAGCACGCCAGACACAGAGAAACCCACAACACACACTCAGGTATTCCACACCACACACGTATCCAGAAAAACACAAACCCACACAACCTAGCAACCAGAAGCACAGAGGAAAGGCGACCCCGCCCCCGCCCCCAGAACACAGCTCTGGAGGCCCAGTGGCCTGCCCCAGCCGCCCCTCACACAGACCACACCCAGGCCTGGACAGGACTGCGGTGACTGCATCCCTCGGGAATACCAGCTGTGGGCCCGTCCCACCGGGCAGACAGCACTGCGGCCCGTGGCCGCCCACTCCCTCGGCGTGGCCTCCCGCCTCCCGCGGGCCTCCAGGTGCTCCTGCCCAGGGCTGGGCCACTTGGTCCCGCAGAGCCTGTCGGAGCCTTACCCGGCTGGCGGGCCAGGAAGGAGGTGGAAAACAGACGTGACTCCCACAGGAAATCGGGCTGAGCAGCGGGCTCCGCAGGGGTCCCGAGGAAAGGGCCAGCCTCCCCGGCTCAGGGCCCCGCCTGGCCGCAGGGTGGGGAAGGGTTTCCCGGGCCACCGGCAGGAGCCTCCCCTGCCGGCAGGAGCCTCGCCAGGAAATGCTTGCTGAATGAATGCACAAAGTGATGGGGTGCCCTCTGCCCCTGGAATCTGTGCCCAGATCCGGATGGCACTTCCCTCGCACTGTCTATTTCTGGGCCTCCGCCAGCCAGCACCCTCGGCCAGGCGGGAGTGGGGCAGGGCTGCCCCTGGGGTCAGGCGGCTTCCCCACTGTCTGGTTCAGCCTAGGGCAGGGGCGTGACTGACAAAGGTGCTCCATGCTCCCACTCTGAGCTCCGTCCGGGCTGACTGCCACCCTGTCTTTAAGCTTCTAGAAATGAGATGGTGCCACAGACAGCGGAAGGCCCCACCCCGCCTGCATGGGGAGCCCCTGGGAACAGGGCTGGGCTCGAGCTTGACTCCCAGAACAGTGCCCCACTGCACCCCTGCTGTGGGCATGGGGCTCGGGGTGTCCTGCTCAGGCTGCCTGAACCAGGGTGGAGGGGGGTGATGCCACATCGGTCTCGTTCCTGCTGTCCTGTCATGGCAGGCTCCCCCTCACCTTACACGCCCCCAACCCCCACCCACGCTTCTGCCCCTCAGCCCCCACCCACCCCCAACTTCGTCCTGTCCTCCCCTCATCCTCACCCTCACCAAAGCCAGGACTCTGAGCAGGCGCCCCTCCCCCGCCATGGCTGAGACCCTGACCCAGGTGGGCAGGGGATGGCATCAAGCCCTGGCCACTGCTCTGTGTGGGGCCTGTGCTGCATGCTGAGGCCCGGCAGGCCTGAGCTCTGGGCTCTAGGCCCCGATTCTGGAGGCTACAGCCTCCAGCCTATTCATTTTCTCTCCAATCCCAGGGCAGCTGGCCTGACTCCGTCAGCCCTCTGGCGGCCACGCCTGCACTTCGGAGCGCAGCTCGACTGGTGAGTGGGGCCTGAGGAACAAGGACAGCACCCGGTGCCCCTGGCCATACATGGCGCTCAGACACGGGCAAACCTGCACACAGACATGCACACCGCGCGCAGGGCCTGGGCCCGACGGGCGAGACAGACTCGTCGGGAGTTTTAAAACTCTGTTGGAGCCCACCCACAGGCCAGACCACCACTCCCGGAGGTTCGCACTGGCCCACCCACGCCGGTGGGCAGCCTGCTGGAGGCGGGGTCTGACCAGTGTCCGTCTCTGGGGGTCACTTCCTGAAGTCCTCTTCTCCAGCCTGTGGGGAGGGACAGGACGTGAGGGAGCCAGCCTCGGGCCTCATGATGCCCACGCAACCCAGGGCCTCTTCTGGGCACCCCGCCGGACCTGCCAGTGTCCCCCTCCCTCCCCGTTCCCCTCTGGTCCTGCTTGGGTTACCTCAAACGCTGTGTCAACAATCTCGTCAATGACGGAGGCCTGGGAGCGGAACTTCAGTTGGTGGTGCTCCACGGAGGCCACCAGCTGCAGGAACCGGGCCAGGAGCGCCTGCTGCCTGGCAGGGGCAGGACACAGCTGGGCCCACCGCTCGGCCCGGCCTGCTGGGCCCCCGCCCGGCCCACACCGTCCATCACCCCAGGCCTCCAGGCACAGCCACAGCCACAACTTCCTGGCCGTGACCCTTCCGTCGGCCTCCTTTTCTGACTAGGGCAGCCCACGTCTGCCGCATTTTCACCCTCAACCTCCCACCCCTCCATCACCCACCCATCCCTGCACCCATCTGCTTGACCCTCCGGCCACCCAGCCCTCTCCACGCACGCTCAACCACGCCCCCAGGCACCACCCATCTGGCCACACCCCGCCCTCCACCTGCTTTTCCCTGGACCCCCTGGCCAGCCCTCTGGCAGCTCTGCAGCCCACCAGCCCACCCGCCACCTCCACCTCCACCCGTCGCCCGCTGCTACCCACACGCAGCCCTTCATCACCCGCTGTGGCTCAGCCCTCCCGCCAGGCGGCACCGCAGCGGCCTTCGGCACTAGCGAGGCAACTGAGGACAAGAAACGAGCCACAGACTCTGGCCCAGGAGCCTCACTCTGCGGCCAGGAAAGCAAACCAAGTTGTTTCTACTTGTGATGTGTAACCCAGGGCCCAGAGGGGCTGGAGGGAATCCTCCTGGGCCCTGGAGCCAGGCTTCCGCAGGAAGCCGGGAGCTGAGTCTGAGAGAAGGGCGGGTCTCGGCCCCTCTGTGCTGGCAGCGGGCGGACTGGAGGAGACACCAGAGCAGGTCAAAGCAGGGTGCCCGGACCTTTCCCTGCCCACGAGCCTCAGAGGGCTGGAGACTCGGGGGAGGAGGGAGAAGCCTCAAGTGCATTTACCAAGGACTGTGCTCCTGGAAGTGGGGTGCAGGGAAGAGCTGGAAGCCAGAAGACTCCTAAGGACAGTATCTCAGAGGGGCCAAGGGCCTGGGCAGGCGGAGCGGGCTGTGGAAGCTGGCGGAGAGCGTGGCCAGGAGAGGAGCCAACCGCCAGGGGACCTGGCATGCCAGCCCCTGGTCACCGGAGCCTGGCTCTGTAGCCAGAGAACATTCCAGACAGAGAGCAGTGTGAGCAAAGGCCAGGAGGTGGAGCAGAGTGCTTGCTTGGGAGACAGTGTGGGTGACGTACTGGGGAGCAGTGGTGGTGGCTGTGGTGATCCAGGCTCAGGAAGGGCCTTTGGGCCAGGCTCCTCGGGGGGGTGAGCCGGGGAGGGTCATCAGGCCGCCTGTGCGCCGTCAGGTCCAGGTGGGGGAAGGAGTGGTTTTCAGGGAGAAGACTCTCCAGGGTGCCAGGCCCGAGAGCAAGGCAGGAGGAAGGAAGCTGGGCCAGGGAGTCCCAGCCAGAGGGACAGCCGGCCTCTGTCCCGGCCATGGCCGCTCAGGCCAACAGGAATGGGGTGTGGAGCAGTTTCCTGGCACACCTCCTCCTCCCCCCATGTGTGGAAGCCACTCACACCCCACAGCCTAGAACAGGGGGTCAGTTCCCTTTGGGTCTCTAGAGTCCGGCTGGGCCTGACCCAGAGCAAGAATCTCGATGTTCTGGACAGGCAGAGTCTTTCTCCACGACCTCTCCGCTGCCCCTTCCCTGGCCCTTGACTCATGGCTGAGGTGACACTGGAGGATTCTCTCAGGGCCCAGATCTCACTTGTGGGCACGAGAGGCTTGTGGTGTCCAGGGCCCACCCACAGGCTCCGCAGGACCGTGGTGCTTCCTTTCAGAGAGGTGGGCAAGGTCCCCACTCACTAGCCCATGGGCGGGGCCCTGGCCCTGCCCTGAAGTCCTGAGCCTCCCCTCTCACTCTCCTTACTTCTCAGTCAGGGACCCAAATTTCTTCTCCAGTAGCTTTTTCTGTAGCGTGAGCTCATTCAACACTCCTTCAGGCTCTGGATGCAGAGAAAGAAAGGGGCGTCAAGACGAGGCCTGGCAGAGAGGGGTGGAGGGCCCCACGGGCGATGGCGAAGGTCAGGTGGGAGTGGAATCCGCTTCGTTTTTTTAAAGACTATTTATGCACACAAAAACTGGAGTGCAGGCCAGAAGTGTGGGAGTGAGAGGATTCGCCAGAGACAGAGTGGGGAGCAGGACAGGCAGATTGACTGAAATACCCTGAAATACAGGAGCGGTCTGCTGTGCCCTGTGGGTCACCTCCCTGCCTGAGGATCGAACTCGTGCTGCAGTGGGTGCGGACAGCTTCAAAGTGCTGAGACTAAACCCCTTGCACCACCAGCGAGGGCCCCTGAATAAATTTTTATGCAGGACAGACACCCCAAAGCTATAGCACCCCAGCTGGTGTAGGGAGGAGCCGTGTCCATCTGCCCATCGAGCACCCAGTCCTCTGCTGGTGAGTCTCCTCCCAGTGTCCAGCCTTCTCATCCAGGTGGTCTGGGGGGCTGACCCACCCCAGCTCCAAGGACATATAGTTGCGTTTGGCCAATCAGAACAGCCAAACCTCTGGCCAGAGGGATTCGGTGAGTTCAAAAGGGCTCTATTTCGTGGGAACCGCGGGGAAGAGAAGCTCGGGGCTGGACGTGTTGGGGGCTGTTTTCCCACCACGAGGGAAGAGCCACCCAGGAGCAGAGGCGACTAGGACCTGGGCACACCTGGAAGAGGCGAGCCCCGATGTCGCACCAGCGAGTCTTGTCCCCGCTCGCTCCTGAAAGGCCTTGCGCACGCCACTCGCTAAAAAATTTGAACTCTTTTCACTTGGGCTTTTGTGCACGGCCCAGCGAGGGAACAGGTGACCTGGGGGGTGGGTGCCCCTAGAGTGGGCTCTGGTTTCTCAAGTTTAAAACCTTTGGAAGCAAAGCAGTGGGCTCAAAAAGCCAAACTTTGTGCCCAACGACCTGGAACAGGAGATCTGTTCTGCCGCCCGACGCCACTCTGGGCGGCTCCGGACAAGTGCACACGGCATCGCGACAAAGCCCTCACTCGGGCGAGACGCCGCCTCGGCTCCGCGTCCTGAGCAGAAACCAGCGTCTGCTGAGTCACCACTTGGCCCACTGGTCATGTCACCGGTGGACCCCGCAAAAGCAGACGGGCCGTGAGTGGGCTTTGGGGGACTGTTAGCGCCCCAACCAAAGCTCTGGGCCCCGGAGGTCGTCCCAACCCTGATTCCAAAGCCCTAGACGGAGTGTGCCCAGGCTCTGGGTCTGCCGTCTGCCAGCGTGGCCACTACCTGTTCTGCTGAGCTCGGTCAGGGAGTCTTCCAGCAGGTTCTCGTAGATCTGGGCTGCCTTCTGCAAAGAGGCGGCCTCAGTCCTGTCAGAATCCCGTGCCCGCTCCCTGCGCCCCAGATTTCAGACGCTCTCCCACCGTTTTCCTGCTACTGCCCCACCCTGGGTACCTCCTGCTTCACTTTCTCCAGGCCTTTGAGCAGTGCCATCTGGAAGTTGTCCACCAGGACAGCAATCACCAGGCTGAGGACCCAGCACAGGGGCTCTCAGAAGAGGGATGGGAGGCCGGGGGAGAGACCCCGCAACCGCCCCTGGGTGTTCCTGGCAGGACCAAGGCGGTGGGGCTGGGGAAAGGGCCTCGGGCGCAGGCGGGGTGAACCTGGGAGCAGCGGTGGGTGGCTGGCGGGGCCCTCACTTGAGGAAGATGAAGTACTGGATGATGATGTAAACCATGAGGATGGGGATGATGTACCAGGCGCCTGGGGGAGAGGAGGCCGTTGGCTGGGGCCCCCCGCCAGCCCCCGCCAGCTAGCGCCAGAAGATGACGCAGCGGGGCCCTGAGCCTGCCCGGCCGGCTCCCCTGCCCAGCCCACCCTGGGCCCGGCTGTCCAGGTAGATGAGAGACCAGTCATCCAGGGTGAGCAAGGTGAAGAGGGTGAAGATGGTGGTGAAGATGTCCTGGAAGCGCTTGCGGTCGTACTGGTGGAAGAGGGCTCGCAGCACCACGGAGAAGAGGACTGGTTGTTGAGGGAGAAGCCAGGCTCAGCGTCCCCCACACCCTCCCCCCCGCCCCGCCACCCCCAGGGCACGGGATACAGAGGCAGGTAAACATGAGGATGAGGATGGCCGTGATGGATGGCAAGGACCGGGCCAGGGTTCCGGCCACTTCCTGGAGGCTGGTCAGGAAGCTGTGGGCAGAGAGCGAGGCTGAGTCAGCGGTGGGATGTGGTGCCCAGCTGATCTGCAGGCAGGAGCCCTCCCTGGTTAGCTGGCGGCTTGGGAGAGCCCCAGCCCCTTTCTGGAAACGAGAGAGTGACCCCAGCAAGGCAGGAGCTGGCCAGGGCCACCTCCCTCATCACAGGCCACTGGCCTGTCCCTTCCTTCAGACCCTGCCCTAGGCGGGCAGCTGCTGCTGCTGACCTGAGTCTCCGCAGCACCCGGAAGGCCCGCAGTGCCCTGAGGCTCTTGAAGACCTTGAGGATCCGGAAGATGCTCTGGTTGTAGACAGAGCGCGTGGAGAAGGCGTCGAATTGCAGGAGCAAGAAATCCAGCACAGCCATGACCACGATGAGGAAGTCTGAGGGCAGAGAGGCGTGAAAGGCTCCTGCGCCGCCCCAGCCCTCCCGCCCCAACACCCCTGCCGCCCCTCGTTTGCTCCGCCCCTCGTTTGCTCCGCCCCTCGTTTGCTCCGCCCCTCGTTTGCTCCGCCCCTCGTTTGCTCCGCCCC